AACCTCATCAACAACTCCCGCTTCATCGGCGACCGCATGGACCTCACACCAAGCGACACCCTCTGCTGCCCACCACCTCTCTTCCACTGCTTCGGTCTTACCCTCGGTCTCCTCGCTTGCCTCACACACGGTGCGAAGATTGTCTTCCCAGCCGAACAATTCGATCCAGTCGCTTGCATGCGCGCTATCGATGCGGAGCGATGCACAGCCCTACACGGTGTACCAGCTATGATGGAATCAATAATGGACGTACCACGGCCGGAAGGCTGGACGAGCGATCTGAGGACAGGCATCGTCGCAGGAAGTCCAGTCCCGAAGTGGCTGATGGAGCGCATGGTCAACGAGCTCAACATGTCGGACTTCACGTCCTCGTATGGATTGACGGAGGCCAGTCCTACGGTGTTCAACGCACACACGACTGACTCGCTGCATGCGCGGTTGACTACTGTCGGAACGGTGTTACCACATGCGCGCGTCAAGATCGTGGACCATCAGGATCGCGTCGTACCCATCGGCGTCAGAGGCGAACTCTGCGTCGCTGGATATCAGGTCTGCCGCGGATACTGGGAGAATGCTGAGAAGACGGCGGAGCTCATCGTTCGCGACGAGTATGGCGAGCCTTGGCTACATACTGGTGATGAGGCGGTTCTAGATGTGGATGGTTACTGTACCATCACCGGACGGTTTAAGGATATCATCATCCGAGGTACGTGTCTCCTTCCGTCGCACAACCCTTGAAGCCTGCGTACTAATGAGATGCTAGGAGGCGAAAACATCTACCCTCTCGAGATCGAAGAACGTGTCGTCGCACACCCATCCATCGCCCGCGCCATCGTTGTCGGCGTCTCACACCCTCGCTATGTTGAAGTGCCCGCTGCCTTCCTCCTACACGAGCCCAACACGGATAAACCAGATTTGGCTGAGGTGCAGGGCTGGGTACGGAAGGTGCTGGGCAGGCATAAGGCGCCTGTGCATATCTTCTGGCTGGGGGAGGACTGCGATGCCGAAGTACCGTTGACGGGTAGCGGTAAGATCAAGAAGTTCGTGTTGAAGGATGTTGCGGAGGGTTTGTTGAAGCCCGCGGAGGGGAGGTAAGCACTATGTCACGTGCTGACGTGCCGCGGATGAAATTTAGCGTGTCATGGTTTCGCGCAAACATCACTGCTCTTATCGCGACTTCATCATCGTCTTTGCGCAATTGCTTCTCTTCAGCTGTATACACATTACCAACTTCCTGAATCATTTTATAGTTCTTCTTCAGACTCTTTCCCCTGCTGGGTCTCGTGTCTGTCGTCCACAGCTTGACGCTCCTCGGAGTCGCACAATAGACGTCATGGCACCGTCAATGCTACACCATTGCCAATGCTTTGTTTTGGCTCACGCGACGCACCTGGCCAATGATGCGCAAGCTATTACATGAACCCGTCATGATAATTGACTGTTTAGGCATATACAACACCTTGTACCTCCACGTGTTCAGCACACGCGCTCCTTGCACCTGCCGTTAAGACATGTCGCTGTCTGCCCCTCGTCTCCTCCGTACCTCTCTCCTACGAAACGTCACACGAATCTCCTCCATACGTCTAGCTTCATATAGCAGACCTGCGCCCCGCCTACAGCAGACACCGAAATACGCTTTCGCAGGACAACGAGCGAACATGGCGACCATAAGCGGCGACGCGGCAGTAGCTACGGCCAAAACCTCAAGCCCAGAGCACTTCATGTACACGAGCGGAGAGACGGATCCCGTCTGGATCCACCACCTGCCGTACAAGAGCATCCCCAAGTTCCCCAAGCTTGACAAGGACCTCGAGACGGACGTCTGCATTGTCGGTGCTGGTATCTCTGGTGTCTCAGTTGCCTACGAGCTCGTCACCCGTGGCCTGAACGTCGTCTTGATCGAAGGCCGAGAGGTACTTTCAGGTGAAACTGGACGTACCAGCGGCCATCTCGCCAACGACCTAGACGACGGCTATACTGCGATTGCGAAGAAGCACGGGGACAAGGGCGCGAAGGCGGCCGCCGAATCACACACCTGGGCGCTCAACCGCGTCGGCGAGATCTCCAAGCAGCTGGGCATCGAGTGCGAGTACCGCCATCTTCCCGGCTACGACTTCTCGCAATACCCCAAAGACTCAAAAGACCACGCGAGCGACATCAAGACTCTCATCGAAGACGGCGACAAGGCGAAGGCACTTGGTATTCCCACAGAATACAAGGAGGGTTTCAAGCTCAAGGGATGGGAAGGCAGCATTGATCAAAGCGATGCCGTCATATACCCACAGCAGGCGACGTTCCATCCCACCAAGTACGTTGTCGGTGTGCTCGACTTCCTCAAGCAGCAGTCCAACTTCTCGTGCTACACCAACACCCGATGCATCGACGTGCAGGAGAAGGGCGTAGAGATCATGGGCATGGGCCACAAGGATGTCTACGTCAAGACAGCTGACGGAAACACCATCAAGTGTGCTGATGCCGTCGAAGCCACTTGCGTCCCGCTTCAGAAGCTGTCAGTCATCGCCGAGGAGGAATACTTCCGCACATATTGTATCGCTATCCGCGTACCCAAAGGTTCAGTCGAAGACGCCCTGATCTACGATTCGGCCGAAATCTACAAGTACATACGTCTCACCGAGTGCGACGAGAAGGACGACTACATGGTCGTGGGTGGAGGTGACCACAAAGTTGGCCAAGCCGACACCGTCGCACCCTTCAAAGAGCTTGAGGAATGGACCCGCGCCCGCTTCCCGCAAGCAACCACAATCGATTACAAGTGGAGTGGTCAGGTCTTCGAGCCGGTCGACCACATGGCGTTCATCGGCAAGAACCAAGGAAACAAGCACATCTACATCATCACCGGTGACTCTGGCAACGGACTGACCCACGGCGTCCTCGCCGGAAAGCTCATCGCAGACTCCATCACCGAACAACCCAACTCCTGGATCTCCGCCTACGATCCCAAGCGTCTAGCTTCCATCGCAAAGTCCGCAACCAGCATGATCAGCCACGACCTCCAGATCAACGCCCAGTACAAGCGCTTCGCTCAGTCGGATATCAAAGACATTGAAGACCTCGTACCCGGTGAGGGCGGTGTTCTCAATACCAACCCCACCAACCCGCTCGCTGTGTACAAGGATGAAGGTGGTCAGGTCCACAAGTTCTCCGCCCTATGCCCGCATCTGAAGGGCGTGGTTTGCTGGAATTCGACTGAGAAGAGTTGGGATTGCCCGGTTCATGGGAGCAGGTTTAGTAAGGATGGTGTGCAGCTTTGTGGGCCTGCGAAGATGGGTCTCGGGCCTGCGAATGAGAGTGGTGAGAAGATGCAACAGCAGGCGATTAAGGGTTGAGTGGTTGATGCGAGTAGTCTCAGGTGGCGAGTACGGTAAAGTTACTCTTTGCATCGAAGAACCTATTTCAAGGTATCACCATGTTGTTGCGTCATGGTGTCTGCTATGTAGACTGGCACAAACCTAAGCATGAGTGCAGGTAACGCTTTTTGTGTCAAACTTCTGCAGAGGATCCAATGGCTTAGGAGAGGGTAGCAAGCCACTCCAATCACCTCGCAAACATGCACTTGCCTCTTACCACCATGACAGAAAGTATCGTATCCTCTTTCACTGCCCTTCCAAGCTCACCTCCACCCGATCCACCACAATCACACACGTCATACCAATAACAACGCGCACTCTCACTTACACACAACATTTCATATACTTAAAATCTCTACACGAATCTTACCCTACCGTCCCCGACCACCACCTCCACACTCCCTCGCTCTTGCCGTCCAGTCCAGTCCAGTCCAGTCCACTCCTTCCGCGCACCCAAAATGGCAACACCAAACCGCGCCCGCGGCCGCAGCTTCCAACGCGTCGACCGCGCACAAAGCATCCTCTCCGACTCCCAAGCCTCCTTCCACACACCGCGTCCCACGCCCCCACCGCCACCCACTCGAAGCGGGCGCGGCGTCCGCGCCAACAGCACCGTCAGCGACGCACCCTCCTCGCTACTCGAACAAGACACACCAGGAAAATCCGCGCGGAAAGAAGCAGCAGCCGCGAAATTATCCGCACACTACCACTTCGCGCCCACAATCCCGAGTCCGTTTGCAGGCACGCTGGAGGCGGGGTTGGATGCGATACAAGTCTGGGGGCGAGTTCACAGTAATCTTGGAACGAAAGGATTACATCCGCTCATCGACACTTTACTCCGGCCCGTGGATAACAAGACGGATTGGCCTGCTCTGTTCAGCTTGCTTGAAGACCGCCCCCAAGGTCGTTTCCGGTATCTATGTGAGGAGCTACTTTTCCTGGTCACGCGGACGTTGTTGCCGGAGGGAATTGTGCAGAATAGGGCGCTTATGGCTAGGCTTTATGATAGGAAGAAACAGCTTGCTATGCGGTTGGTGCTGCGGTATGATATGTTGCGCGAGTGGAAGATGGAGCATGGGGCGACGGGTCGCGAGATGCCTGTTGCGGTTGCTTCGGTGCCGCCGCCAACGGGGGTGCCAGCGCCTGATCCAGTCCCAGTGTCTTTCCCTGCGAGGTTTCCGCATAGAAGGGCGCGGCTGCCTAATATCATTGCGACGGTGATTGCGGCGCCAGCGGGAGGGTATGGGACGCATGGTGTGATAGCGAGGATGAAGCATCATGTTACGGCTTTGGACGATTATCTGCTGTTGAGCGATGAAGAGGTGGCGGGGTTGAGTGGTATCGCGCTGCTGGAGAGGGTGTGGCAGGTTCTACTGCATTGGCAGTGGTTGAGGCAAAATAACGAGATGCTGGAGGAGATGGAGGTGCATGGGTGGGAGGAGTTGGAGGGCAAGGCGGATGAGTCGGAGTGGATTGCTGATGATGTGAAGAAGAGTGCGCAACCTGGGAGTAAGAGAGCGAGGGAGAAGGAAGATGAGTAAGGGTCGAGGATCGCAGGTGATTTCAGGCTGAGAGCTATGAGTAGAGCAGGTGCTGCCAGGAAGACTTGCAGGTAAAAAGGTGCGCTGCGCGCTACAAAGCGCCTAGTCGGTGAACGCTGCTGTTCTTGCTCCAGCGACGGAACGTCTTGCCCTTCCACCAAAAGAGAATACCGAACGAGCACCAGAGCGTAACAAGAGCCGCGTTTGTCATAATGGGCGAGATAAATCTACTACAGTTAGCCAATGCTTCTTCATGGTCAGATTTACGCGTCTTACCCAACCTCTTCACTCCACGGCGTGATGAACTTGCCAAACCCGTAGCCCCAAAGATTCTTGTTGACGGTGATGGCGACGAATAACGAGCCTGCAACGGGCTTGTACGAGTCAACAGCATATGTACTGACGATGCCTGGGAGCGCTGCAACTTGTATACCAGCGCATGTGTAGCCAATGACGATGATGGCTTCCCAGGGCCACTTGCGCTCATAGCCTATCGCGACGACGATGTTACCGATAAACATGATGACGACATAGGGTATCATAGCTGGTAACCGCATCTCTGGCTCACGAATACCGTTATTCTTCCTGGTGCTCCTTGCAGAAACCCAATCGCTGAGCGGACCAGCAGTGAAGAGTCCAATGAATGCCCCAATCATGATAGCAAAGTTGGTAAATCCGACCGTCATTGGCTTCATGTTGTAGGGAGGTAGGGCGAGGACTTGGCTTTGTGTGAGGTTGATGGTGAGGAAGCTGGAGCATGACCAACTGACGACGAAAGCGGCGAATTCGACGATGGGGAAAGCGAACAGTTTCCAGGGAATCCAAAGGTCGAGAAAGATGGAACGGAACGGATGGGCGTTTGGTTGGAAGATCTTCCACTGCCATTTGCCAGGTTTGCCGCGGCCAAGAAAGGGGTCTCGCTGAGCTGTCTCGGACATCTCTAGGCCCGCCGTGTTTGGCAGGACGGAGTTAGCTGTATTGATGTGCTGGATTGGATTTGTCTCTTTCTCGCTGTCGGAGTGGTTGATATCTTCCTGGGTAGTCGCTCGTGTCTTCTCTTCTAGTGAACTGGGTTTCTTCTGTCCCAAGTGCTCGGGCAACGCGCGCTTGAACCTTGTTTCTGGGAACATAAAGACCACCATCAAGAACGAGAGGCCGAGGATGCCGGTATTGAGCCACCAGAAGCTGCGCCAGCCGACCGTCTCAGTCATTGATCCAGACACGATGGGACCGACCATCAGCGAGCCCATGTAGACTACCCAGTAAAGAGTGTTCCACTTCCCACGGTCGTGCAAGAAGAAGATGTCGGCGATGATCTCGGGCATGATGGTCTCGGCCGGTCCAGCGCCGATGCCATTGAGGATGCATGCGCCCATGAAGGAGTTGTAGGAGTTGGCCTTGGCGCGCCATATCGAGGTACCGAAGTTGATGAGTTGGGATGCGAGATAAACCGGGCGACGTCCGAAAGATGTACTGATTGGAACCCTATCATTACCCATTAGTCTTTGGCTTCTGTATCATGATCTGATGGTACTCACCAGATGAAGTTGCTAAATCCCAGTACCAAGATGCAAACACCGGTGAATTGAACTGCTCCGGCCAAATCGGTGTTGAAAGCTTCTATCAGTGCTGGAAACATCGGTGCTAGAGCCAATGGACCAAATCCTTGCGTGAACGTGGCCATTGATGCCGCGATGATGCATGCCATCTTCCAACCGGTACTCCAATTGAGAGGATCGTTGGGATCATCGCTGGGTTGTGGAACGAGAACTTGGCGGTGCGCTCCTTTGACGAAGTGGTGGGAGCCTACATCTGCCATGACCTCCGTGCCGGGAAGGATCTCTGTGTGGAGCTCGGCTTCGAGCTGCCGGCGTTCCTGCATCTTTTAGCACTGGGCGGTATCAATCGTCTTGGAAACTTACATCTTCGTTATAGTCGTGTGCCTCCATCGTGATCAAAGCAACTGATGTGTGAGAGGCAATGGTTGTGCTCAGACCAAGGATGCAGCGAGGTACTTGTATCGCGTGTTGTACGAAAAGGCGCACTTCGCGGGCCTATTCTGACTCAATCTGGAATGTCGGTGCTATTGCGATTCGACTTCGAAAACCAGCCGGAGTGCAAGTCAGACGTGGCTTGCCATGGAGCGCGTGAAGATGTCGGCAGGATAGCACCGTGAGCACCTCTCGTGATCCGGCAATTGTAGTCGGAGCAGAATCCAAGACAAAAGGTTACTAAAATGTGTAGACAACGGCCGGCCGATCCTCCGCTGAGCGTCTGGCTACTTATCGCCCAGCCTGATTTCCAACAGCCAGGTTCTCCGCATCTTCCACACGTGAAGGACCTGCGTGCCGTCTCATCGTTCGTAACACATCATCTACGGCATATATCAGCGCGCGCTGTCCAGTCATGAGCCTTGATCGCGTATTAGCCTCTGTTTAGCCCCGGTACGCCGATACATACCCATGTTCGCAGCGCTGTGATCTCGACCCAGGTTCCGGGATCGAGCGGCAGCGGATGAAGTGGGCGGCAAATGTCTTTCGAGCACGCTCAGCCACGCTGCGCAAGTTCAAGCGAGGGTTAAGCTGACCGCACGGGAATTTGATCGAAAGAGTGATGGTTTGGTGATCGTGAGTGAGGTTTGACGACTTGTGTAACTGCCGAGCCACGCTATTTCGCGCTACGTCACTAGTGCGATGCGGGGAAAATAAGGGGAAGCCGCCACGAGAAGACTAGAACGCCGAGCTTACGACACCAAGTCTGACAGCCCAGCATCACGATATCCAGCCTGTCGATACGCCTTTCGACGGTGTTCTGCTGCTGGTCTCTTCAGACTATCTAGCCTACAGCACAACCAGGTTGCTGCGTCTTTGTACCGTGCGCGTCATAGCCTTATTTCCCATCGTCCTTCAACGTCTCTCATCCCAAAGCTCCCACGAGTCTCAATCTTCGCATACGAACCGATCGTGTACTTTGGGATCGTAATCCAAATAGCCTGCATTTTGTTGCCATGAGAACTCGAAATTGGCTTTCCTGCCGAGGGGAGGTGGACCGAATTCCTTCCACCAGTGGCATGGCCGCTTGCAGAAGCATACAGGAGGGCTGGTAAGGGATAGTCAGAACTCGTGCTACCAGCAGCAGCACAACGACAGAGTAATGAAGGTGACTTACAAAGGTCGCTGTAAGTAATCTGATATGATGACTTGTCTCTCGACAGAAAGATCATGGAGCGTACCATTGCGCTCATCGTACAGAATTGCCTCCCACTTGTTACGCGTGCTATGCTTCACATGCCCAGACATAGACACAGATGGAATACCTCGAAGAGCTTCCAGCGCGAGAGTGAAGAACCAATCCAAGAGAGTCTTTTGACAGGAGATCAGGTTGGCGCGATAGTCCCGTAGCGAGGGAGTCCAAGGGTCTTGAGAGATGACGCGACGTCGATTAGCCACCGTATGTATCCGCGAGGGTGTAGGTACTTGAAAATGGAGATGAAGATGGGCTAGCGTCGGGATGTTTTTAAGCACGTGGATCGGAGGCTCGTCGGGTGACACCATGAGGCGCTGGTCGCTGAACCCTAGGAACATGAAGTAAATAGAATTGGGAAAACCAAGGGAGATGCGACGGAGCCATTTGCCTTGGAAAGGATCAATAGCATTCGTAAGCGTCCAGAGATCACCAAAATGTGGAACCGTCGACGTTGTGACAGAGTTACGGATCTCCGCTCTCACCTGCTTACACACAAATTGTATGGGCATATTTCCAGGAGTTGTGTTTCCTGCCGGGTCGAAGGTGTACTGAGTGGTACGAGCGAAGGTCCGCCAACGCTCACTATACATTTTGTAGTGTGGATAGCCGAAGACTCTCAAGGTAGCCTTTCGCGGGTTTTGGCTAGAGTCCAACTCCTCACGTGGCCATAGGTAGTACCCGATGACATGTCCGTATATCATCGAGCGAAGTTCGAAAGGCAAGTTCAATATCCTAAAGGCTCGCCCATTCGCCTGCCACCAGCATTGCTGGTTGTTGTCGAAGGCACGTGGGGGTAGTGTCGCGAGCTTTCCCTTGAGCCAGTGCTCGAAAGAATTCCATTGATCTGAGAGCCCAATCTCGAGGTCGCTCAATAGGTTTGCTACTGGACCGCATGCAAGAACCAAAGAAGGTCTTCGGCGTATCTGTAGCTTGTTTGTCATGCCAGCTTCTTCAGAACTATGGAGCGCGAAGAAGGATCCGTCTTGAAGTGACTCCAAGGACATGTCGGCAATCGAGGTCTTCCTCCATATATCGAAGTCGATCTTGCGCAACTCGAGGAGACGGTCCTGTAACATACGGTAGTCAACGAGCTGAGAGTCGTGTCAGCCTGGTATTCGAGTAACGTTCACGTCGCACGTACAAGCCCGGTCTCGTTGCTAAAGCCCTTACATTTGCACCGAACCTCAACCCAATCATGTAGAGGACGCCAGCTACGGCGCCCGCGGACCTGGACACATGCTAGAGGAGATATGTCTGCTATGTCTGACTTGTTCGACAACGATAGATCATAGCGTATCTTGACGCGAGGGGTTCCTGGGCTTGTACCAACGAAGCTATAGTAGCCGGAAGAAACTTGTTGGATCTTTCGCGGAGACACCTTGAACCCGACCGTCTTCGCGTGGAATGTGGCGCATGCGCGGCGCTTCTCGGCGATATACTCGTTGATCGTGGCCGAGATCAAGTCCTTACATTGTCAGTATTTCCATACATTAACCTTGTATGAGACGAACTTACTGCTTCTTCGACCGCATTTGAAGCTTCCTGGCGACTTGAGTGCTGTGACATTTTGCCGCTGGGTCTAGGGGTTGAGTACAAAGCGACTGATCATAGTTTGAGAAGCAGTGTTACAGACAGGGGTTTTATACGCAGGTGCAACGAAAGGAGGAGTGTGTGGCCCTTAGGCAGCAATCTGTGTGAAGGATTATGCTCTACCTCTAAGTCAGTGTGTCAAAGCTTACTCGGGACCCAACAAAGGGAAATTGGAGATAGAAGCCTGGAACTTGTGATTGCTTGTCGGCGAGATGATTGTATGTTTCACAAAGCGCGTTGCGAGATTACGATTTGTCGGCTGCGAGTAGGACATATAGGCAGGATATCTACATCGCATTCGTATTGTCTGAACGTGTTCATTCAAAGACATTGTAGGCTACATAGTAGACGATGGTCTACTTCCGCCAGGGCAGACTGGGTCCAAAGCTCCGTACCTATGCTATCATAGGTATCATGACTTCTCAGTACCAGGAAGACTCCACAGTCGCACCCTCTCCTTCCTCAGCTAGGACCCCTGTTGCACCACCGGCGGGAATTCGTGGAGCAAAATCGTCAGGTACCCACATCACAGGCCCGAAACTCACCCCATGAAACTTCCTCATGCTGCAGGAGTCGAGTTCGTCACTGAGACACTTCGCATCCTGACAGACATGTCCATACATGCAGTCTGCACGATGGCAATCACTGCCCATCGCGCAAGGGTTCCTCTTTGTCATATATCTAACCACCTTGTAGATCTGGCTACTAATTTCAGAGTGATCGAAGGAACAGTTGCTACCAAAGCGGCATTTTCCTTTCCCGAGGTGAAACAATCTGCAAGGCGGGGCGCCACTTCCGAATTTCTCTGCGTATGCTTGTCTTTCGGCGGGAGAAGGAAGCCCCATATGGTAGTCTAGACGATGCCCAGCTTCGTTGACGGGGACATGGCCACGTTTTGCGTCTCGAAGATACGGAAGTCGAAGTTCTTGACGATGCGCATCCGTGATATCGTTCGGCGTAGTAGGTTCAGCGTCGCAATCATAGTGAGTGTCAAAGTAGGAGAGATCGTGTGACTCGCTTTTGCAAGAAGCGTCAACGCTGATCAGTTTCTCTACGAAGCGCTTGCGCATAGAGTGCGATGTGAGCGAAGAGAACGGGTCTTTTCCTGCGGGCTTATCGAAGATATTTGGGATGCTGATAAAATCGCACGGCAGAGGAACGAACTTGGCCCCCGCGCCCATCCCGTTTCCCTGGACTAGCGTGACTTTCTTGGAAGATGTACGCAACATCGCGAGGTATACGGGTCGCCTCCAAGCAGCGAGGAAGATGTGCTTGCAATTTGGGTCGTACCGAGCTGTTTCGAAGGCATCTAATATGGTTAGGAAAGACATTCCGAGATGTTCGAGTGTCACTCACTAGAGACTTTGAGCTCTACCGTAGCTTCGTCTTGAACGCCGATGAAGTCGAACTCGGCGTCAATCGAGGAGAATTGAACAGCAAATTGCTGAAGCGGGCGAAGTAGATCATTCTCTAACTTGGCCGAGTCGGCATATAGGCGCACAACCAGTCGAGACGCCTCGAGGGCTGCAATTGCGGATATCCCGATCAAGTAATTCTTAATCGCTTTGTGAAGACGACTCCTGATTTTGAATGGCTTGACTCTTTCGAACTCGGAGTAGATGTGCTCGGAGGATTCTTGGTAGACGTCGTTACAGAACTGAGTGTAGAGTTAGCAGTTGATGATGTAAAAGTGCTCGTCATGTTGAGATGTACTCCAACACTCAAACACGTCCTAGACGGCTACATTATCATCTGCTTCTTTATCTTGCAACGTAGATCGTCGTGTATCCATATGACTTAGGCTCTGGATAATAGGTACAGGGGAACAGCTTACCGGATGACTATGCGCATCAATCAGCACCAGTACGTGAGCATCGCCGCGTGAGTGGAACTTGGTGACAGTCTGCTCCAACTCTACCGCAGCCTCTTGGAGCGACGTCTTGGATCTTTCGCGAGGATCTTCGTGGGTCGATATGCTATCAACGAGGCTACGCAGTCGCGCCGCCAGCTCAGCGACCTTCTCGGGGCTCGCCATGTTGTTGAGAAGATGAGAGAGAAGCCTCTGGGGCTGGATATCTCTGTATGGGCGTCGCTGAGATCCCTGTCAAAGCGCGTCGCTTCTCATCTTCACCATTCACCGCGCCAAGGCGGTGAGCGTGCGGCGATCGACCGATTAGGAAGTCAACATAACAGACGCCACAAAGACGCTCGAAGGGATCGCAGTCGAAAGCGGTAGAAGCAGATGGAAGCGATGGTAAAGAGAAGTAACGCAAGAAGCGGACCTGTCAACCACGCGTGAGACTGTATAGCAAGTTTCAAGGCACTATTGAAGGTCAATAGTGGTCGAAGACAAGGCCGTAGCGCAACGTCGGAAGCACTGCATATCTCGACGCAGTGCTAATGCCATTTCCAGTACCAAGACCTGAGTATCGGCCGTCCCAGCTGAGCAGCTTACTCTGCGCATGCTTGATTTGAACATCTCTTTCTCCCTTTCTGGGCAAAACGAATAGCTTTCCAGCAAGCATATGCGATCAAGCACTGTTAGCGGCTTGTGGACCCTGGGAGTGTGTGCGTCTACCAAGTGGGCAACATGGCGAGAGAGAACGGTCCTCAAAGATTTCCATAAAATGCAACGACATGTCGTGAGGACGTATCTGTTGAAGCGCAACGGAGAGAACTACCCGCGCGGTCGGTATCACCAGCGCTCTAAGATGATGATCAATGACGTCATCACCCTTTCCTTTTCCCACAATCCCAGCCACACCGATCCGCGTGGCTGTTCTCGTTTCACCATCCACATCAACAACATTAGAGTACCCTCTTTGACAGCATACTAGACTCTTCGCGCCACGCTTCGATATACTCGCATCAGTCTGCCCGCGTGGGCGGAATACTTGCCCCAGCTCCTCTAGGCCAGCGTAGCAGGCTTTTATGGCGAGAGCAGCCACCTGCTCACTACCCGCGAGTGCACGCACCAATAACGATTGCCAACTCGTTTGCGATCATCGTACGGTTTTTCGGAAGCACGGCAACTGCCCAGTGTCACTGCTAAGTAGCCCTTGAACGTCTCGCTACGCCGTTTGATGTTATCGGCATCGCCATCGGCTCTGCTGCGTTGCGAGAGGCGCTGCTTCAACATAGACCCAGAACAGACAAAGATTATAAGAAAGTCGATAGAACCAACATCCCGTTCAAGATACTGCTTGGTCCAGCTTTTGCGACATTACTGGTGGTAAGTGTGCGAGCCTCGTTTTATTGAGGTCTAGTGCCTACCTAGGTATGAATGCATCATCCAGGAAGAACGTCTCATTCCAACATCTGGAGCATTCACACCCACTTTGGTTCCTTTCGGTCTAACGCAATCATTGCGAATCATGTCCTCGATAATACTCGTGTAGGGGCTGTCAGGCTGAGTGGCGTCTGCCTGCAGAACGTCTCCTACGCTCAAGTGCGCACACAAGAATGCGGCTGAGTTGGCCGTATGGACTAAGCGCGCGGAACCGGAACCCCCGAGAAGGAATATCACGCGCAGGTTCTTGTGGAGAACCTCATGAATACCCTGCGACTTGTCCAAAATACCGAGTCGTTCGGCATAGAGATACAAGGTTGCTTGTGTGTGTACTAGCCCAGATTGGCACACTAGGGCTTCATAGGTCAGCATGCAGTCAACCCCCCGCGCCCTTGAATGACTCCACATTTCGCGAACGCAGTCCATCCCATGCGTCATGTTGGCGCGGATGTCACCACTTCCGTAGTCCACTCCTTCCTTTCTTGAATAGCACTGACTATCCCTATGTCCCTACTGCGCAACATGGATACCTGGTCCTCAAATGTAGAAGACGATTCGACTGTCGGTACTGTGTCGCTTGGTATGGTGGTTATTGATGAGATCCACCTGCCAAAACGATCGCCTTTGATTGACGTAGCGGGGGGCTCCGGAGCTTACGGTATGTATCTTACACGTGTGGCGCTTTTAGAACGCTGATAAACTTACGATAAACAGCAACGCTTGGGAGCCGCCTGTTCAAGACCCCTGCGCGATCGAAGACGGTGGGCTGTCTGGCTCTTGTGGGCTACGACTTTCCCGATGCTGTGCGAGAACAGCTAAAGTCCTGGCGGACCACTCTGCACGTAAACGTCTCGCAGGACAGACTGAGCACCAGAGGGCTTCTTGAGTACGAAGATGATACATTTGGACGTATGTGACTGCCTTGTTCTAGTGATAGACTTTTGCAGCTTACGATTGCCTAGCGAAGAAGTTCCGCTATACTACGGAGCCGTTGAAGCCATCACCAATCGATCTCGTAAACACAAATCTACTTGGCTCGGAAGCATTTCATCTCCTTGCACCGCCCGAGGTTGTCGAAACACAGATTCCAGAATTGATAAAGCTTCGCAGGCAACACGGGTTCAAAAACCGGCCATTCATAGTGTGGGAACCATTTCCAGCAGCTTGCACCACCCAGAACCGACCTTCATTCCTGAAAGCCTGCAGACTTGTGGATGTGTTTTCGCCCAATCACTTAGAAATGTCTACCATGCTCGAGGATTCACCCTGCGAAGGCTTTCAGCCTGGCCGACTGGAAACATATGCACTAGAGTTCAGCAAGGCAATCGGACCGAGCGGAAGCGGAATCGTTATTGTGAGAGCAGGTGAGCATGGCTCACTGACCACTCAACATGCAGCTAAAAGTGTATGGCTACCCCCATACTACGAACCATCGGCGGTCAAGGTTATCGACCCCACCGGTGGTGGCAACACGTATCTAGGCGGGTTTATTGCAGGCTGGAAAGCATCAGGAGATATTCATGAAGCTTCTATGTACGGTAACGTGGCTGCAAGTTTTGCTATCGAGCAGATCGGTTTGCCTTCTTGTGAAGTGAGCGATGGTGAAGGGATATGGAACGGTACTCGGGTAATGGAGCGTCTTGCTGAGTACAGAGCACGGCTCAGCTGCACAGGAAAGAAATGAGAAGAATATATCACACAGGTAGAAGATACCGTTGCAATGGTCGATTCGACTGCGCGTTTGGGAGATGTCTATCTAGATGACAAAGGTTTTGATCCTCCTTCACTCTCCCCAAGAAAGCCTCCCAGCCTTCATTCCGTTACGACTGAACAGATTTGAGCTGAGACGAAGTTCTTACCGCTACCACCGACTACATCGCGTCGTATCCCGGCTTTAACACAACCACGCACAAGTGAGGCTTCAGTCCGCGAACCCACAGCATCACGGAGAATACTCCGCCGAAATCTACTCGCAACCTAGCGTACCAAACTGCATACTAACGCTACTGTCTAGATGCCGCTGTAGAACGGAGATGCCGCTTTAGATTGGAGATGCCGCTGTAGATTGGAGATGCCGCTGTAGATTGGAAATACAGACTTCACCATTCCGTTCCCGAGAAGGGGATCCATGTAGCCGCGGGCTCAGCCCTGCCACCTCGTATCGAGCGCCTGTATAGTGTCTAGGAGGGATTCAACAGCTCTTGGTGTGACGATTCATAGCTCACGGACTAATCCCGCAGCCTCATCATGATGCAAGGCATCCTTCCCCTTCGCCTGCGGTAGATTCGGATATCGCTCGTGATGCGGCTGACAAGACTTGGGAGATATGGGGCAATGAGGCAATACGAAGCTGTGGGCGTCCCGTCCTCGCTATCAGTAGCGCGCGGATAGGTAATCCCGAGCGAGCGATTTACCACCATCTTACAACGCAAGACTATCAGAAGCTTGAAGATGCAGGATTCGCCATTCGAGGGGCTCATGGAGCAACGCCGCCACCCTTCATGCTGGGGAATGCCGGGTTCCTGTACATATGCTATTGCGTATCGTGCAGGAGGCTGAGGAGGCTCAGTAAGTCACGCGCCAGGGTTCCCAAAGGATGATAGTTGGATCGTCAAGCATGAGGGGTTGGTGAAGGCTTTGCAGCCGTATGCCTAGATCTCTCCCAAGAAATTCTGACAGGACTAATGCACGCACACATGCAGAAGTCTCAATCCCATGCGTCTCAGCTTTCCACTATAGGATCGCAATGATCAGCGCTCTATCACGTTTGAGGATCCCATTGGGTACCGATTGGGTACCAGAAAACGCTACCCCACCGTTGGAACGTGCATCTCCAGGGCTTGTTTTGTAATCTGACAGAACGGGACGCTAAAATCGCCGATCACTCCGCAACCTCCCGCTCTTGCACGTTTGCCCTGCTGCTGCCACGACTACCAACGTCAAGAATACGTTTCCACGATACCTTTTAGAATGTCCGGCACTCAAGTCTTGGGCTCAATTTCGCTCGTTATTGGTACGAACTAAAACGACGACATGGCGGCGCGCATTCCGGTTCGATACGGAGTCGAATACCGAATAGATAGAGGAATGCCTTTGCCGCTTTTTCTCCTCAGGCAGCCTCGATAAGCATTCAGGAGAGATATATATAAAAGTATGAGCTCGTCGGTTTGTCAGAATGACCACATTCGTATGTCTCTTCAGAACACCTTCTGGTAGCACGTCTACTCCACGAGACACATACCAAAAAACAGAGCAACACCATCCTTGTCACTATCACAGCTATTCCACTTCAAAGTCTTTCACCAGGACACATCTTTGATCCCAACCATGCCTTCGTTCTTAATGAGAACTTCACACGGTCTCATCAGCATCTATGACTCCAATCTCAAGAACGACCAGCCCGCCCTCCTTCTCCTACACGGCAACGCCTCATCCTCCAAACAATTCCGCCATATCATCGAGTCCCCCACCATCAACAAGGGCTGGCGCATCGTTACTCTAGACCTCCCCGGCCACGGCTGCTCGTCCAATGCCCCTGATGTCAAGACTACGTACTGTCATCGCGGCTACGCCGACCTCGTTATACGTGTCTTGCAGCACCTCAGAATCGAGTCTGTGGTGCTCATGGGCTGGAGCCTGGGTGGTCACATCGCGATCGAAATGCTTCCTTGCCTCGCTCATGATGATCCCCCCATGGTGGAAGATGCTCCTCGGATCAGCGTCAAAGGGCTCATGCTTATCGGTACCCCTCCCTCGCGTGGCGCCGAGCAGATGGCTCAAGCGTTCAAGATGCCGGCTGGTGGTCTTACCTTCGCGGGGAATAGAAATTGGGTCAATTTGGAGGCTGACCTTTATTTGAGACATGGTGTGGCAGCGGGCAAGGAAGAGTTCTATGAGAGGTGGATGTTGGAGGATGCGAAGCGGACGGATGGGCGCGCGACAGTCTTCATAGCTGATGCCGCGACTGGAACGAAGGATTGCCCGCCTAAGGGTTGCGATCAGAAGCGTGTGGTAGAGGCGACAGATGTGTTGATCGCGGTCGTGAACGGAGTGGAAGATCAGTTTGTCAATCTGGATTATATCGACGAGGAGGTGAAGTGGAAAAGGCTCTGGAGGGGTGAGTGCTTGGGCTTATCTGGGCTCGGACATGCGCCATTTTGGGAAGATGCAGCAGGGTTTGAGAAGGTGTTGGAGGAGTTTTTGGACGATTGTGAGGAGTGGGAGGGTTCGGATTGTGATTCTGCTGTAGGTATTTAGCCTACCATGTTCATGGTTCCTCCCCATGTACGCAAGTCACTGATACCTGATTCATATGTAGTATCCGCTACTGTTTCTTGTTGAATGTGCTGGTGGTATAACGCAGGCACGACGCGGCTGAGTAACACCGTAGATAATTGCAATGCAGGTGTAGTTCCCAAACACCTTTGCTCGCAGTATGCAGCAGGTAGTATCCGTTGCAATTCCATCATAGTCATGAGTATGTGCGTTGGAACGCCACATCGCATACCATAACGTCCACTAATTGCTGACAACCATCTCGATACGAGGACATGTGATCGCAAGTTCGCTTCTGGCGAGGGTTGGATGGGGCGTAACTAGTCAGTGTTCATGGAAGCGCTAGGCTATAATTCCGAACTCTAGACCCCTGTACATGTCCCGCCTGATCTACGCAATGCTGATTCAATGCTTACGACCTAGCAGGGCGTAGTCCCACTCCTCTTGGTACTTTCGGAAGAAATCCCGCTCACCAATAAGGTGCTTGCCCATGAACGCCTCCCAATGCTCGCGCTTTTCCCCGCCCTGAGTCATGGCCTCGAGCTCTCGCGCTCTCCGCATGCGAACCAACTTCTCCGCGGTCTGCTTCAGCATTTCATGTGGGGCGGCATACTCGTTGATACTTTTATCGGCTTCCTGGCGATTTAAATATACTTCGGTGGCAGTGCGTATTGTTTCCAACGTTCTGCTACCTTTAAAGTAAATGGTTTTGTCTTGGCCTTTTCCCTTTCCCTGAACTAGGATTTGTTTCCATTCATCAGCTTTCACATTTTTTAATCCGTGAGAAACTTCGAGGCGTTTGTACCATCTCTGTTCACCCTTGGCGATAATTCGCATCGTTTTGTGCCGACTTGAGCCTTCCGTAGGTTTGACGAGAGTATTTCTGAACAAGCGTTTCCTTTTCGCGTATTTTCTCAGGGAAGACAGACTGGAAATGTCTATTGCCGCAGCGAGAGATGTGTCATTGGAGGTGGAATTGGTTCGGCCAGCACCGATGGATAATAGAAGAGCGGGCTCACTGTCGTCGCCCCAAAGCGAGGCGGCTTCGGAATAAGCACAATAGCTGGGATTTTTCTCCCGCATGCCACCCTCTTTCAATGCTAAGTTGCCATCAGAGCCGAGCACATCCAGTGGCTTGCGAAATATGGGTGCGCCAGTAGTTGCTCGACCGACCTGCCACGTGCGCAGCTCAGGAGTAACTTGGTTATAAGTGAGAATCCATGGCGCAAGAGTATCTGGGTCGTAATGATGGTCGTACGTGCGCAAGAGACCTGGCTCGTCCAATCGCTCTGAGTAGAGCGATGTCAGGCATATCCTGGGTAGTATTAGGATCGACTCTTTTCTCATGATTGTAGCATGGCTGCTGACTTACGTTTGGCAAAGCTGATATTCTGGGGTTTGAAGCTCATCAGTAAGGATCTCAGACTCCTTGGAGAGACCACCTCGCCATAGATATGAATCTTCTAATTCTTCCGAGCCGTCTTTGTAATCTCCACAAGTATCCCGCTCTATTGAGCGCCACTTGAAAGACTCCCCAAGTTCATGATGACACAGGCCTCGTTCATGCTGTTTACAGTGCCGCCGAGTCATTGATTTGAGAGCAGCCTCAACATCCGAAGCACGATTTCCAATAGTAACATGTGCCGATGTCCAAGGATCTGCATACATGGCGTGGAAAATGGCTTTTAAAGCGATGGTCGTTTCTCTAACGGTCATCCGGAGCCGACTTAGGGCAATAGCTAGTGTCCTACGAACATCTGTGAGCACATGTTACTATTCAAAGAGAACCGTATAATGGAACAACAGCTTGCGCTAATTACTTGTTCCATTGGTAGTACTTACCCTCCTGTCGATGTACCATACATCTTGTGGAAGTAATGGCATAGACGGAAATCTGAAGCCTCGAAGCTTCTGGGATAGTGTGTAAATTGCCGCTCGAATCGGTCCTCCAAAGCGATGATTTCTTTCATGAGTGCCTCAATGATCAAGAGACTTGACCACGATTTCACTCCACCACCATCTGACGTACAAATCAGCAGTCTCTCTGCCAATACTAGCGGGGCTACAAACCGAGGGTGAGTAGACATTCTCCAGTTCCACCCTCCACTGATTCTGACCATTCATTCGCCAATTCCTTTGCTATTGAAGGTTCCCCATTGTGCACTGAACGTGACGATGTGCCATAGTTGATCTCCTCGCCCCCGTCCGTCTCCGTGATGGCGATGTTGTAAGACTCAGATAGTTGTAATGTTGGAGGTGTGTATTCAGAAGGTGAGACTGTGGGCTTGGCGCCTTCTACGATCGGAGCAGCAGTGTTCTCTAGAAAAGCGTCTTCTAGTGAAGCCACAATGAGGTCACGGTGTTTCCCAACGAACTCTGTAGTAAAGCCTACTGCGCGGAGGGATCTTTCTATCTCCAGCCAGACGTGTCGCTCAACATACGGATTCTCTGGAGCCGTATCGAAGCTGCGCATTGATGGAGCCGCCTGTGAGCTGCGAACGGACGGGGCCGTAACGAAGTTTCGGATGGATGGAGCCGTGACGAAGCTGCGGATAGAAGAAGCTTTGTCTGTACTTTTTTGGCTATTTATCAACTGAGTCAGCGCCTCCTTGATAGTCTTGTAGTCTTTTGCGGTCTTGCGGTTGCTGACGACGCTGAGGTGCGATTGCAGGCTTGTGAGTCTCGACCGCAGATCCACAATATTCTCACGGTATTCGCTAAGTTCGCCTTGTTCTAGGAGCTCTGCCAATAGTTTAAGCTCCCTTATTATTGAAGCGCATTCTTCGGAAACTCTTCCAAACTGTAGATCGCTGGAAAACACGTCGGTGTCTAGTGTTGTCGCATAATCTTCGGTGTATTTCGCGATTGAACTCAGAGCCTCTAGGCTACCAAGCAGCGTATGGGAGTTGTTTGCTTCTCTACATCGGCTGCTCAACCGCTCACTGACTTGTCGTATCTCGATGATCTGGTTGATGGTGATGTCCCTGCCTGCCGTAATGTCGCCTTGGAAGACGGCGCCACCCCCGCTATCCACGGTTCGGTCCGGCGGGTCCATTCGTGCGCAAGGAGCTTGGCTGAGGTCTTGCAACCATCCGGAAAATTATTTAGAGGCTGGCGGCGACATGCGATCCATGAATCGGCTTTGGTAACGTTTGGGATGGAGGTGTTCTTCTGGGTGTCCTCACAAGGTGGGGTCAGGCTGACTGCGTATCGCACACCTTGCAGATGGCTTGGTCAGCTCAGCTGCAGCTGCGGCTGAGACAAGGCAGATGGCAGCCCGATGTCTGCCTGCTTGACACACTCGTCAGAGGCTGTCGCGCATAGCTTCAGAAGCTGTGGAGATACTAGAAATGGGCATGTTCCGCCGTTTGAAGACGAGCGGGAGGAAAAAGAATGGGGCAGAAAACGACAAGCATACCGAGGAGCCAGCCGAAGAGTTGTTCTCCACGGCAGGCGCATACGGACTCAAAACGGTAGCGGAAAGCGCGACTGACAACGTAGAGTAAGCGCCCAGCCTCATCGCCAGAATGCACCTAACACCCATCTCAGCATCGTGTTTGTCCACGGCCTCACTGGTAACCGCGAATCAACATGGACGTACAACAATTCCCTCTTTTGGCCCAAAGACCTCCTCGCGAAGGACCTTGATCACGTGCGCATCTTCACCTTTGGCTATGACGCAGATGTGGTCAAACTCCTTAACACCGCGGGCGGAAACACTGTACGCGACCACGGCAAATCTCTCGCGCAAGACCTTTCTTTGCGAAGAGCAGAAACGAACTCGGTACGCAAATACCAAGTCTAGAACTGCCTTCTTTACTAACTGGCATTAGAGCTCACGACCAGTAATCTTCGTAGCCCACAGCCTCGGCGGCCTCGTTGTCGAACAAGCCCTTCTAATCTCGCGCGGCACATCCCAACTACACGTGAAAACGCTCCTCACCAGCACCTTCGGCATCGCCTTCATGGGAACCCCCCACCTAGGCTCACGAAAAGCAGACTGGGCAGCCCCACTAACCCGCCTATCATCGCTCCTCCGAAAGACCAACAGAGACATCGTCGCAGTTCTAGAACCCGCCTCAGAAATGTTATCAACCCTGCAACAAGAGTTTCACACCATGCTCGAGGATAGAAGAAGGAATGAGGGGAAATGGATCGAGATATTCTGTTTCTACGAAGAGTTGAGTTACGCTGGGATTGGGGATATCGTGCCGAGACAATCAGCCATCTTGGCCGAGTACTCCAATGATAGTATTCATCAGAATCATTCGGACATGACAAAGTTTAGTGGGAAGGCGGATCCGGGGTATGTGAGGGTAAGGGGGCAGCTGTGGGTGTGGGTTGATGCGCTTAACAAAAGAGAGCTTAGTACTACTGCGACAAGGGCAGGCCAAGCCGACTGTGATGAACGGACGCTTGTCTCGCGGTCGGATAGATCAGAGCACGTATCCAATGTACCCAATGGCATGGCAGTATCTGAGTTGGAAGGCTCGGGAGAGACGCCAACGGCGCGATGGGGAGAGGAAATTGGGAGCAGTCGAACCTATGCTACCTCATCTAGAGGCGGTCCGATCTTCATGGGTAATGTTAGCGCTGGGCGGGACTTTCGGTACAATCAGCACTGACACTGTACCAAACCTTCCACGTTGTGGAGAGAGGGAAGATACTCAGGTGCGCAAACATTGAATTTGCATCAGTTCATCGTGACCCCGCCTCCCACTAGCTGTTCCTCTTCGCCAAAAATGTTAGTGCGATGCCCAGACATGAGCTTACTTACACCTGACGCTCAACTTTCCCTAAGCTTTCAGAATCCGACCTTAGAGTATTTACTGCGACCAAACTTAGCTATGTATCGTAAGCGTTCAGATAGCCACGACGGTAGTTATTAACGCCGAAACGGAATGACACATTACCAGGACCAGCATACGTGTAGAGCACTGCCTAGCAAGTGATCTCGATTTGTTTATCGACATCTACTTGTATTTTACGCAAAACTCTTTCAGATCTTACTTAGATAAGAGAAAGAGAGTATAAAGGTCGTGTAGTGACCGCGCTGTGCACACCGTGTATACATGCGCAGGGCAGACTACCTAGATAGGAAGTAGGTACACTAAGCGGCGTAAGGATAGGTCGTATAGACATCTTTGCTGTGCACGAACGGGCTGAAGACGTGGCAATCAAGGGGGTATTAAACTTTATCTCCTTACCACTCACAGCTCCCGCAAGACCAACGAGACCAGCAATGCCAAAATCCGTCTTGAAACAAGGAAGATCAAAAACCAACGCGGTGTCCACAACAAGGAAACTATAGATCTAAGAAGAAGGAATAGGTATAACAAAGCAGCGGAATCTAGTAACTTCTCTCTACTAGTGTCTACTAGAAGCGTAATAAGGAAATGTGTAGACTCTGAATGAGCCCGCTGTGTGCGGGGTCAAAGCTATCGAAAAATGGTGAAGAAGTCCACAACCTACCTGTCCATCGCTACATCTTGTCCAAACTACATGCCCCGAGACCAACACATCACCCAAACCTTACCCCAACAGCACTCGTAGCGACCCGCTTCATCGTGAGCACAAAGACAACATAGCTGACTGACGCTTCACAGTGTGATACATTGAGGATAGATAAAGTCCACAGGTGATATCTTTCGTATGCGGCTACAGATCCATTCGATGTAGGCCCGAAAACAAAGTTCATGATGGATAGCGAAGATGAATCGATTCGTATCTGTTCGAGCCAATCTACTTCTTCTTCTCCGCTTCTTCATCCTCTTCCTCATCATTATCCTCTTCCTCAGCACTATCCCCTTCATCCTCGTCGTCGTCATCCTCATCATCATCATCTTCCGCATCCGAAACCTCCTCTCCAAGAGCCTTGAGCCGTTCCTGCTACCATTAGTCCCACATCCATACCAATCTCCACACAAAACGGGAAGACTCACCTTATCTTTCGTCCTCTTCTCCTCAAGATCAGCCAGCACCATAATCAAATCCTCAAGCTCCGTCGCCTTCTCCTTCTCCGCTTCTTCCGCTTTGCGCAACTTTTCCTTGAGGTCTTTGAGTTCCTTTTCACTTGCAGCTCCAGCACCAGCCTTGCCCTTCTGAGGGGTTGACTTTGCAGCGGCAGCGGCGGCAGCTTCAGCTTTCCGGAATTTCGCCTCCGCCTCTTTGACCTTCCAAGTCTGGTCCTGCGCCTTGGTCTTGAGATCCTGGTTCTCGGCTTTGAGCTTGTCGATGGTGGATTGAAGAGCTTCCTTCTCAGATTGGGATTGCTTGAGTTGCGCTTCGAGAGTGGATTTGGACTTCTCTGTCTCTTCCTTGAGCTGTTTGAGTTGAGTCTCTTTCTCTTCTTCCAGCTCTCTGAGTTGCGTCTCCTTTTCTTCTGTGAGGAGCTGGAGCTGCGCTTCGCTGTTTTGGACGTGCGTTTGTGCGTTGCGCAGGGTTTCGGTGATGGTGGCGACTTCGGTGCGGGTTTGTATGAGTGTATGTTCGAGGTTACGGATGTTTTCGATGGCTTCCTGGCGGGCCTTCTCTGAGGCGCCCAGTCGACGCTCCAGCTCAGTGCGTGTTCTATGTGCGTCGTGCAGCTGCTGATCGTACTCTTGTCTGACCTTTGCGATGGCTAGATTGGCGTCCTTGCTCGCTTGTTGGACCTTGTTGTTAAGCGCAACGATTTGAAGATTGTACTTATTCTCCATCTCTAGCATAGCTTGTCGATGCTCGCGATCCTTCTTCGCAACTTCCTTGTCGAGATCGTCGTGCAGTTTATCGTTGATGCGCTTCAGGGTGCTGCGTTGCTCCTCGGCTGATTGCTGGGTCTTGCGATGCTCGGCCTGCTCCTGGTCTATCTTTTGCTCCAAAGTCATGAGTTGTGCTTTGAGCTCTTGGATAGTTTGCTCCTTCTCATTACTCTCCCCACGAAGCGCATCGACTACATCTCGGTCAACACCATCATGTGACTGGTGCTGTTCAATGTTTGGGTTGCGATCGATGGCCCGCGATAGTCGGCTAAAGTTGTCTTTTAGGAAGTCTACAAAGGCTTCGTCGAAAAAGATGTCTGGCAAACCACCACCTCCGCCAGCAGTCCGGGGCAAGACCTCAAAGTCCCGTACGAGCGGATGACGTCGCAATCCGGTGATGGCGTCCAGGTATTTGTCGCGACCGAGCTTCGTCATGAGAACTGGTTGTAGTTCGCGTCGTGGCACAGGTGAGTCCCTTGTTGAGAATTCGTATACGACTCCCAGCAGTGCAGCACAAAGACCGCGAATCATGACTCGGTCTTCCCCAGGGGTCAGGACGGCTTGTACCAAACTTTGCAGGCTGCTTGCTTCTCCCAAGAAATCATCTACTGCTGCAGCATCCTCAAATAGCCAACCTAGCAATAGCATTAGATAGGCTACCGATATGCGCTCATCTTCCCCGAGTTGCAGGCTTGCGATGAGATTCGCCGTAAGCGTTTGTATGCACGTGACGACCTCTTCACCGCTCTCTGCATCTCCCTCCTTGACCCCCATAAGGGTGTCTTTCGCTTGATAGTCGTCAAAGATGAGGTGGTAGATGAGATTTGAGGCAAACCAGATTCTGTATGGGTCGCCAGTTGGGGGTACCTGGGGTCCGGACATTAAGATTGTAAGAGCATTGGCTGTTTCGTCGCCGCCTTCGTGGCCACCGATGGCGCGATTAAGGAAGTGTTCCTGTATTTGTCTGTGATTGAAGAAGTAGGCCTTGATGCACTCGCATCCTGCATTGCGCAGGTCGAACAGGTCGTTCGGCGCCGGAAAAAGAACCAGGTTTAAAAGTGCTTCAATAACATATACGGAAGGTACGCCGTTGGGAGAAGTGACGCCATTCGTAGGAGCCTCAACAATGGGCCTGACCTGCTCTTGAGCGAATCCTTCTTGGAGCCGAGCGTTGCCTCTAATCAAATCTGCGCACGTGTTGAGAGCCTCGATCTTGATGGGCATGGCGGTTGCGGGGTCGAAAGCGATGTTCAAGAGTTGTCGGACGAGGCCATGCTGCTGGAAGACGTTCTGGTTCTGCAGTGTGCCCGGGCTACCCTTGACGAGGAACATGCGCATTATGGCGAGCAGCCCCCAGATGTTCTTGTCGCTCTGCGGACTGACCCAATTGTCCTCTTCTTCAGCACTCGCGCGTACCTTCTTCGGCTTGTTGCCGCCGGGTAGCAGCGCGGCAAACCTCGCAATATGGCCCATCTCACGTATGTTCGTCTGGTTTGACACGTTGAAGCGAATGAGGATAGCCAGCAGACTCAAGCAATCTTGAACCACAACCCCGCCCTGCGTGAGCCCACCATCGGCATGTATCATGTTGAAGACCTTGGTAAAGGCATCCTCGAAGACGAAGAGCTTCTGGAGTTCGGCAGAGGTTCGGGACAGGTCGGTAAGGACGACGAGGGCTTCGTTACGGATGGCATCGCGGGGGTCGTCCAAGGTGGCTACCAGGCGCTCAATGCCGCCGGGGGCTGTGAGGACGCATTCCTGGGTTCGTTGGGGGCGGGCGAGGGAGATTGCGCGTATCAGTTGGAGCGAGTAGAGGCGGGAGTAGAAGTCGGGCTTGTCTAGGAGATCAAGCAGGAGAGTTATGTTGTCTTGCCGCTATCATAAGCTCAGCACTAGTAGATGTGTAGCAGGACAGGACCTACTTGTGAGAACTGGTCGGCCAGCAGCAGCTCCAACTCCTCCGAGGCCTCGTGACTGGTCTCGTCGGGGTGGAAGAGCATGAGCAGCGTCTCGAGCACCACCTTGAGCGTGTCCACGTCGTCGCCATCTTTAGTCAGCGAGGCGA